TATGCATCTTAACTTTAGATGTTTCATTGTATAAGTCTTACTAAAACAGTGAAGATTACTGTTTTTTGAACTACATTTTTTGAAGATTTAAATTGGATAATAAAGTTAGACGAAAGAGTGGCTTGCTAAAATCATCTAATTACTAAAGTTGGCTATGATTTTTAACTGGACCAGTATTACTAAAAAATGGGGATGTTTTTCAAGCCTAGTGATACGAAATTGGCAATGCATCCTTTTGAAAATGTAGAAGCAAATCTCTGAGCCATAAATACAAATCTAAAAATGAATTGCTTTGTTATATTGGTTTTGCTCTTTCATGAACACCATGGTAATCTATTATCTATGAAGAAAATTGACTTTTTGAAGGGAAATTAAATGGCTTTTAAGAGCTTCCTAAAGGAGTGTAGTATGTTGGAAAAAAGCCAATAAAACTTGTGTTTTAAATGGTAAAGATCTTGCTACATTTATAATTCATGTTGTGTTCAGACTGTATCAGAAGATGATGACAGCACTAACTATAAAGGGCAGGCTGATGGTACAAGAGCAAGATCTTGGATGTCTGAATTTCTCTAGTGAAGATATTTTACACATGGCCTTTCCAATCAGTAACTTCAACGGAATAAAATTACAAGGTAGGTATGAATGAACTAACAGACAACTTGATAGCTTTGAGGAACTCAAAGAGTATAAACCACACATCTTATGTGAAATAATATATTTTTATTTGATTTTGTTTAAGTATGTTACATTTTATTTTGTCATTTTTCTGAGAAAGGTTTTCAGCTTTTGCTTCTAGATAAGAAGAGTAGAGGAAGAACAGAAACTGGGGAAACAATTGTCAGTATTAAAATTGCAGACAAAACAATGTTATAAAAACATATTTCTCTTCAGCATTATGTGTTATATCTAAAGATCGTTGAGATGTAGATTTGTGCCTAGAGCAAGGTGGGTGGCTGAAAACTCTACCCACCCATGGTGGTGACTGAAAATTCTACCCAGCTAAGGTGGGCAGCTGAAAACTCTATCTCCACCTGTGAGATTTCTAATGAGTTTTCAGATAGACAAAATTCTGGAGCTAATGAACTACCAACTGGAAGGTTTTTTCCAACATATCTTTATCATGTTATAAGGTCAATATTGCAGGAATATTTGATAAACAAAAGCTGTCAGTAATTTTTTCCCAAATGACGCTAATAAATAATGTTTATAACTATTACTGCTGTGATTTGTGCACTGTCTCCTGCCTAACTCTATTTTTATGAAAACAATACTTAAAAAGTAATTTGTTGCAGAAATTTGAGGCTTATAAATTTAATAAATTATATAACGGCCAGACTTTGGCCAAACTGGCTTTTTTTCCGGAATCTGTAATATTAGAGCAACCACACTATCATCTGTAGGATTAGAACACCCAGTTGTTGAGGAATTCCAGATTAGCAATTGTCATCTACTGTCATCTAACTTTATAACTAAATTTTGATCTTTTTTCATATTTCTTTACGATGGAGATTTTGGTCAGTAGTTTTGCCTCCATCTAACCAATATAGGCTGCAAACCAATGAACAGTAAACTTGCTTTGGTCCTAATGAAATATATACTGATTTCAGAACTGTATCAATAACGTAGAATGTAAGTTGGTATTTAAAATAATTTATAACTAACTTATAATTAACTTATAATTTATAACTAAGAACTAACTGAATTATCATAGTTCTTGTCTAGCAACTCTCCATTCAATGTTAAATTTCTTTAAATGTTATAGTAGGAAAGCTACTATTTTAAATACACAGAAATGAAATGTGTGGTAATAAATATGCTCCAAGATTTATATAGTAATTATTAAATGAAGCTGATATAAATTGAGTATTTTCTGGGTATACTTGACACCTACACACAAAGAAAGAGCGAGAGAGATACACATATTTCTAGATCTAAGTGATTTCTGGCTAATACATTAAAACTGTATAACTATAAACAAATCATCATAGATAACACTAATGAGTTAGTTGAAGGGAATGCTATAACTGCAACCTTAAATATCATCTGTATATACCAGCTGATTATGCATGAAAGAAACCATGTTCCTAGTTTTTGTGTAAACCAAATCATTTCAAGCAAACCAGAAAACAAAATGAATCCTAGAGAATTGTAAGAACTCTTGCTATGGGAATTTATGCTTTTTTCTCCTTCTTCTAACTTAAATTGAGAATATTTTTTTCTGAAAAACACTCAAAGTTAAAGCATTTCATACCAAAAGTGTAGTTATATCATAATTTTTGTTTAATGACATAAGAGAACATGCTAATAAATTGAAATGCATGGATGTTTTTGAGAAATGTTAACAGATCTAGTTAGGGTGAAACTGGTGAAAACCGTCTGAGTAATATTCTTTATGATACTGTAGTGATGCACTAGTTCACAGAGTCTAGGGATGTCTTGATTAGGCCATCATGAGGGGCCAGAAGGGATTGTCAAAAAGATAAAGAATGGACACAGTCATCTATCACAAGCACTTTAAGGATAGGACATTCCAAACATGCATGCAGTTGAATTAAATACTTTTAGCTTTTAAAAAATTTTAATCCCATTTTTTCAAAACACTAACTATTGTTGCAAACTTTTTTATTCTATTTTTATCAAAAGGGAGAATTTTGCAGGAAGCAAATCTAGTTTCGTTTTGACTTAAAGAGTGGTTTCATATGATTCTCAAATAAAATATTAGGATGGTGTAATTTCTCTGAAGCTTTGAGAAGCAATTCCACCCGCCCACAATTAGAAAAATTAAGCAGCTATATTGATTGTGCCGTGATTCTAATCTTGGTATAGTCCACTTATGTAAGTGACATTTAAGCTATCAGGTAAGGATTTTGGGTACCATAGCCAAAGCATCAAGTTTTGTCCAGTCTTAATATATATATAGTGAGATATAAGTATCCATCTGATTTATGGTATGGCAAATAAAGAGTAGGTGATTTTGTTTACATCACTGGATGCACTATATGAAAGCTTTAGGAGAAGGTGAAATATGTTTAAGCTGTAGAACAAGTAGACTACATGTTAAGGAAAAGTGATAACTTGTCTAGGAAAGAAAGTGGAGAAATATTCTCTTTTCTTCTGGATGGGAATCTCTTAGGAATACTAAGAAATGTCCCTATCTGGAACAGATAGACTTGAGACATTGTGGTGCTATAAAGCTATATCTTTATTCAAGTTTCTCAGTGGTATTTTAATGTTTACAAATGCATTTGTACTATGTACTATGCATTTGCATAGTGCTATTGGATAACACTATTAAAACAAGTTTGGGTTAATGTGTGACAAATGAATACATTTGAGAAAAACTGATTTGAGAAATTATATAATAATTTTTTTTAACAGGCTGACCTTGCTAGTTTGAGCTGCTTGAAGAAGCAACAGGATATCTATGTAATTGTTTTTTTCAACGATAATACGTTTGAGTATGTTTATTTTAGAGAATCTTTTATACTTTTTAATTTTATCATAAAATATTACATATGCATAGGAAATTTATAGACTTTGGCATCATTTTCTTAAAATATTTATTGTTCCTTTCTGTAAAAATCTGCATTAAAATGGCTTGGCCAAGATTCATTGTTTTGAATTATATTGTTCATCTTTACTGTGGAACATTTTATCTTTTAAAACTGAAGATATATTATAGAACATCTCATGTAATAGCAGTTCACTTAGGAAAGAGCACATATGACTTCCTTTTAATAACAACAATCCATTGTGATCCTTTCCATGTAAGAAAAAAACACTGCTCAAGTCATAGTCTCAAAGTCATACTCAAATTCCATTGCTTTTTTAAAGGATAAATTAAAACAAAAATGAATATATACGACAGAATACCAATTTGATCTGAAACTTTCTTTGCAGATTTTGAATGTGCGGTGCTAGGACTAAGTCCTGTGAGTTTTAAAAAGTGTAAATCTTCTTAGTTTCCTCTCATTTTGTCTTTGCTATTTATTCTTTTACTTTTATTTGCAAGGAGCATTACTTGTAGTTTATGAAATCCAAAGTTGAGGGGCATCATTTATAAATAAATCAATCTGTTGAGGAATAAATATTATTTTCTCGATGAAATATCCATTTAGAAATACAATGGATATAGCTCATACTATAATGAATACTGAAAGTTAGACAGTTATTATTGGTGACAAATTCTTACTTGCATATATATATCATTCGGAATATAACAAGACTGAAATCAGCAATAGGAAACAGTTTGCAGGGTCAGTCAACATACACCGGGCTACAAGTATCATAAATTAGACATTTTTCACGTGAGGTATAAGTAAGTACTGCTTAGTTTCCTAAACATATTTTTCATTATGCAATTGTGTGTGGTTTTTAAGAGTACACGTGCATGTGCGTACACAGACAAATACGATTTCTTGGTTTCTTGTGAAGGAAAAAAAAAATACCCATGTACCAAACATTGCATTTAACCCATAGGGAGCTGCAGAGGATTATGGAGGGTTAAAAAAATAGATAAATTCAGGCTCAGTAGTTGTTGAGATCTGCCAGAGATTGGGCGGCTGGCTGCAGCTCAGTCCGGGGAACAATAGGTACCTGTATTCTGCATGGACCGCTGGGCAGGGACCAAGCAATCTGGGAAAAGCTTTGCCTACTACGCTGAGGTTTCCTCCGGGAGAATGCATAATGAGAGCCCCACTTTCCCGCGGAGGGGAAGCGAGGAAGGCGAGAAGGAATCCCGGCTCTTGGACGAGGAGGGGCCGACTGAGCTTTAATCATTTCTAGCCAGCCTCGGCTTGGCCTGAACGTGAGGTTCTCGGTCTAGAACTCAGCGGGCCGCCTTTCCCCTTTACTACTTCAGTCAGGCACTCTCGCTGCAGAAGAAGCACATGCCGCTCCTCGCCTCTTCCTGGCGGGCGCGCGCGCGCTCACGCCTCCGCGGCCCCCCCCCCCCCCCCCCCCCCCCCCGGTCTGAGCAAGCAGCTTAAGTGTCACCGCTACAACCGAGCCCAGTGCAGCACCCGTCGCCATGGTGTGAAGAGGGGGGCCCGGGAGATGACAACAACGAAGGAGCTTCGTTCGGCTTTGAAGTTGGGGTAAGGGAGAGTCTTTATTTCCTCCAGACTTTTCGGGTCCTTGAAGAGTAGGGTTTTATCCTAGGCTTACCTTATTTTCAGGGCGAAGCTCTTTGCAAAGCCCGGATCGTAGGTATACATTGCCTATGCAGAAACTGACTTGCCCCGCTTTTTCGGAGATGAGAACTCTTCGAATTCGAGTGGCTTTTAACATTCGGCAGCCAGAATGGATTCTTTTCTTTTCTTTTTTCCTTTCTTTTTGCAGAAGGGAGGGTCTATGGTCCTTGGAGTAGAGCGCTTACTTGTTCATTAGAGTTTAGAATGAAAAATCTCCCTTCGCCCTGGTTATCCGTCCCATTTTTTACTTTTTTTACACCCTTGCCTGTCTTGAGGTCAAAGACTTCTTAAAAATTAATGAACTTCCCTGCCGAGTTCAAATAACATAATATACATGAAGGGCTGAAACAGAAGACCTCATGATTTCAGGGATATTTTTCGTGCAGGTGTAAAGTTTAAACTTTAATATGTTGTTTTCTGAGTACTTTATATTAATTGGAAGTATGTTTTTGCATTAGAAAAATGTCAACTATCTAAAATATTAGCACAATGCAAGGTTAACAAAACACATTGCACAGCATAATAGAAGTTGGCAGGGTTTTTTTTTGAACTGCATAAAGAAATAATACAGTGATTCTCCCTACAACATAGGTGTGTAGTAGATTATTGTTTACCAATTTCCTAAATATGTAATTCAGAGACATTCATAACAATTGAGGAAAATACAGTTTGAATCATAAATTTTAAGTTATACCTTAAAAAGATGGCCAAGAATGTTAGCAAAATAAATTGAATTATACTATGAAACACAAAACAGCTTAAAAAGTCTAATATGTACCTTTTGTTAGTTATGATGATGAAATGAAAGCCACAAATTATTATTTGTTAGTTTAAAAAACAGCTAGGACTAGCAAACCTTTTAAAAATCCTAACGGGTTCAGCAAAAGACTATCTCTGATATAGAACTAGTTATTATCTTTTATTGGTTGTAAAATAGAGCAAAGGAGACAATTTGAAAGCAATGTGTATTATGATCTGTGAGAGAGCTGCATTATATTCAATCACCCATTTCTAAGTTTCATTTTATAATTATGCAATTATGCTTCAAGGAAAAATAATGTTGAGATTCGGTTTGCTTTGAAACATATTCATTTCAGCTGGAACGCATGTTATTTATTCAATGTGATGCAAAGACAAGAAAATAGTTTTTCCTTTTGGACCTATTGTGATGATCTAATCTTTTTAATTTTGATTTTCACACCCCAGAAGAGAAATTTCAGCTCTTTCTATGATTGCTTAAGTCTTTCTAAATGTTTAAAAGACTATTCTTGGTTGCTATGGCCAGTCTGACCTTTCTCTTTGCCATTTTAGGGACTAAGGCAATCCTTTTTTTACATTAATTCCATCTACCTTGATTTATGTCTAAAATTGTGACTAAATGTCTTTGTTTCCAAGTGATAAATGTGGCATGTATTAATCATTTATTAGAAGTAAACACTGCTGTCCTACTCAAAATACGTTTTGTTCTGAGTTAATGATATGGAACAAGCCACTCTCAGCAAACAACTATCTATTATTTTAAAGAGCCACTGAAAACTTGGCTCCAGAAGGAGGAAATTGGCATTCACTTTCTCTTTCATCAGTGTTTCATTTCTGATATCTGATGATGAGACAGCATGTAAACTGAAATGAATGCCTAGCGTTCCATTCTCCAGCCAGATGTATATTGGGTCAATTTTGTATATGTATTCCATAATATCCCCTTCATAGTGTTTGTCTGTTATTTTATTATCACTGACTGTACAAAAGATATGCATATAGAAGTATTCTTCTGATAGAGGCTCACTGTTTTATACTAGTTCATTGAATTAGCATCAGATTTTGTTGTTACAAAATATGTTCGCCTTTATTTAATGTCCCTTGCATATTAGAAAATCTCTTTCAGGTTTTTAAAGATGTTTTTCCCCCTAGTACAAACTGCTTATTGAGGAAATAGAGCAGGGCTTCTTTCCCCCCTCTATTAGATGCAAATTACTGGTTTGACTTGTTGTTTGGGTTTTGTATGCCAGGCTAATGTAATAATGATCTCAGGCTAGCAGAGAAAATGATTTGGGAGTTTCAGATGCCTGAAAAACACATTAATGCTTAACTTTTTTTCCTTAAAACAATTAGCTAAAATTGCAACTGTAGATGCAGCATGATACCTAATGCGTTACCAGTAAAATTTTTGATTTAATTAGCAAGTACACAAACTAATATTTTTAAAGAATGTATTTCTTTAACATGCAAGAAGATGATTAGTCCCATTGATTTTAGGGGTCCACTCTATGTCTAGATACAAGGCATCAGCTAATGGTTTTCAAAACTGATTGCTGTCTCCCAATTAAGCATCAATTGGGAGACCTAAAGTAGTCTTTTAATATTGTTATAAGTGTTGTCCTATTGAATAATGTTTTATAATTTAAGGAAAGTTTTGTTTAAAGCATTTATAACTGTGATGTGATCCTTAATTCTGTTGTATATCATGTAATATTGAAAATATAATTGAAGGTGTCTGAGATTTGAGATTATAAAGATGATGCTTCCTCTTTAAGTAGATGAAGTCTTCAAAATGTTCAATATAGAAGGAGACAAATTTATCGGTAGTTAATAAATGGCATGCACTAGTCTTCAGATTAACAGACTTTGGAAGTTGGTTCTTTTGGAACATTATTCAGTTTTAGATGAATTGGAGTATGTAAGGGTATTGTTAAGGATTATATAGGTAGAATTATGATATATGAAGCTTGAAGTCAAGGAATTTATCCTAATCAAAACAAAGAAAAAGTCCCTCCAGCGAAAGAAAGGCTCAAGAGAATACAAATTGCACTTTGTTCAAAGTCTGATTACAACTAAACTATAAACTTACTGAAGAAAGCATACTGTTTTTTCATGTATTAATGACACTTATTTGGCAAATGGTTACCTTCAAATATATTTACAGTGAAATAGATATAAATTAAGAGTTTAATAGTATTTTTGGTTGAAAGATTGTCATCATGAAGAAATGCGGGATATCCAAGAAATTCCACATCACAAGCATTTCTCAGTATGTAAAGTAGCACAAATTTGATTTGTCCTTGTGAAACCAATGCATGAGGTGAAACAACATTATAAATGTATAAACGTGTGAACTTGCAAATGAAAATATATGTACAAAATGTATGTACTAACGACAGGTATGGCTAAAAAAGCACATGCACACTCATCCTGCATTAGGAAAATTGCTTACAAAGCTGCATTGACAAATTTATGTATTTTAGAAGAAAAATGTGTAAAACAGTATATAGATTTCCATAATATTATCAAAAAATCAGAAAGGGATGATGAAGAAAGAGAAACAACTTGAAAAAAAAGATAATTAAACAAATTCAAACTGGATCATTTATTCCTACTTGCATAAATCAGTGGCTTGATAATAGGCAGTTATTTCCTGATATCAGAAACCAAAAGGAAATACTTCATAATTAATGCTGTTTTTAAATATTGTCACTCTTCTTGATGATGTATATACATTTTCATCTTTTGTATGTTTACATAAAATTATTAAGTGATAGAATTACACTGTCTCTATTAACTGGTGCCAGATACAGCACTATTGATTAACTAACAGAAGGTACTGTTTAAGCATTTCAGCTGTCACCTTTATATTGGGCTTCATCAATTGCAATACAAATGTATTTACCACTAATTATTCTTATGTTTTGACTTCCTGTAATTTGTGAACTAAGTCCTACATTTTCCATTATCTTTTCATCTTTGTAGGCTTGTACTGCCTTCTGCTTCTGAAGTATAATATTGCTAGGCATATGTATATTTGTGAAACATGTGGAGAGTCAATTGAGTAGGAGTGTGTTAAAGCTCCTTCATTAAATGAAAGCCATATTAAACATTATATCTTGTTAATTTGTTTAATACAACACTACCAGCATCCCACGTCTGTGCTTTAGAAATGTTATAAATACTACATCTCAAATTTCTAAAGTCAGATTTATATGTAAACATCTTTGTAACTCAATGATGTTCAAAATGCTATCTCTGTCATTCTCTCTCTCGTATACAGCCAAATAAGATACAACATAAATGCTGCATTTATTCACTTTCTTAACAGAAATGTTTTTATTCACACTTCCAATCAGACATTCATTTTAAGCAGGGCAGTCCTCTTTCCCATTGTTTTGATTGTTCTGTTTTTTTCCCATCCTTCTTTTCTTCTCCAGCTATTACTTTCGGTTTGTTTTCAAAAGCATTTTTAAATTTCAGGTTCTCCCAAGCATGTTGATACTAATCTCTCTTTATCCTCAGTGAAGCCATTCTGGTTCCTTTTGTATTGGCACAAATTATATGATTTTATTGAGGAGTTCAATTTTTATTTTTTTTAAACTTTCCAGTTCTGTATTTCTTTTGATCTTTTTTCCTGCTTATACTTTGTATTCTGAGTGTGCAAAGAACAATTCTTTGGCTGCCAAATTTAAAAATAGAGCATGGTAATGCCCATCAAATATTAAATATTTAACTATTATAACTTGAGAAGCCTGGGAAGTACGACATTTCTGCCTGTTCCTGTTCCTAGTTTTACTGCACTTTTGCCCATTTCTTCTGGAATGAGTAAGGCTCCATAAAAAAAAAAGATACAGGCTAGAACACCGGCAAGAAAAGACAGAATAGTTTAAGGAAGCAAATAGTTTAAGTAAAAGTAAGATAATTTCTATTATATAAAAATGATGAAGAAAAACCAGAATAGTTTTTTCTCATCATTTTTATATAAAAGTAATTATCTTGCTATACCATTGCATTACAGATCTTAGTGATTTGGAATTATCGTCCATTAATGCAAATGAGCGTTGTGTTATGTCTAATGCAGTGCTATTGGAAGTTATTTAGAGAATAAAGAGAATTATTGCTTCACAACTACCAAAGACAGTTTTCCTCCGAATCCTTCCGTTGATTTCTTCCCCCTCCGCCCCCATCCATACACAAAAGCCTAGGCCTTAACTGGATGTCCCATTTTGTGCTAGAGGTTAGAAAAATCCTTTTCTATATAATTCCTGCAAATTGTTTTCAGTTTGAAATTCTTACTTTCTTCCTCCTGGCCACAAAAATCCCCAGCCTATGATTTCCTTTTGCATACTTTACTGTATATCTAAATTGCACTATACAGAAATATTGGCAATGTTGAGCAAACTCGTAGAATGTAGCGGTCTTCTTGTAATTGCTCTTTGGCATATTGTTATTAATGTTTCAATTTAGACTATTCCTCTGACTACCAGATACCCAATGAGTTTCATTAAAACAAGATCTAGAAGGGGAATCCTGGGAAATATTATCAATTCTTCATGAAGATCAAAGCACTGAACTTCTGCACATATCCTTTGAATCCTATTAAATTGAAATATAGAATATTGTAGCTGACAGTAGATGTTTCCTTATTTTGAAGAACGATTTGAACTTAAGTTCTGCTTTTTGAAGTTTTTATGAATTTATATTTTTCTCCCTAGTCCCCAAAATTTAATTATTTGTTCCAAATCAAATATTACTAATATTTCTTCTTTATACACAATGTACATTTTTATTCCATTTAATATTCATCATTCACTGTTAGTAGTTAAAATTTTGAATTCTACCATGTTATATTATCGTATCTTTTTATACATTGTACACTTAAGGTTTTAGTAAGATGATTTATTTTTTATGACAACTTTCTTCTAGTAATTTATATCTTTTTTCTTCTCCCATTTTATAGAAATATATATAAATTAGGTTATACTGGGCTTTGAGCATAATGAAGATTTGATTTGATTTAATTTGAAATTTGATTAAGGTTCTTTTTAGACCTTTGTTATTTTTGTTTTTGCTACCTAGCCTTACGTGAATCTAAGGCATTTGTTAATTTATGTTTCAGTCAAGTGTAAATCAGAAAATGATAATAACCAAGATTAAATATGTTGTATAAACATAGTGATCAAGTCAGGAAGAGATAGCAACCTTTTATTAGCAAGCTGATGTTTTGGGGTTGAGCATAATTGAAGAGCCAACCAAGCAATCCATATGTTGTCTCCACTCTTTCACCCTGTCCACCTGTATTGAAAGGATGGGTTTCTTTCCATTCACTAGAAGAATAAGGTTGGAGCCAGGTTGAATTATAAAGATCAGTTGGTATAGTTATGGATTGGGCATCTAGGTTTTCTTTTCAGGGGTAAAGTGACGACATGACCATTTTTCACACTTAAGACCATTGCAGCATCACCATGAACAAATGATCAAAATTTACACACTTGGCAACTGACTTATATTTATGATGGTTGCTGAGTCATGTGATGACTTTTCATACCCTCCTGACAAGCAAAGTCAGTGGGGAAGCCAGATTCACTTAACTAACGTAATAACCGCAGTGATTCACTTAATAATTGTGGCAAGAATGGGCAAAACTCATTTAACAAATGTCTTGCTTATCAACAGAACTTTTGGACTCAATTGTTGTAAGTTGAGGGCTACTTGTATTGTTGTAGCCTCCCAGACTTTTATGTCACAAGGTGGCATCTGTAAAAATCTTTTAAATAAAATAACATTATGAAGAGGAACTATAACTATACTGATTGAATATATTTACAGTTGCGTATTCAATCTACACAATAAGAAACTATATATTATAATCAGGTCCTTGGTTACACAAGTATGTTCAACAGAATAAAATCCCATTTTGTCTTTAGAAGATACTTATTAATACGAGAAAGTCACAAACAGAATAGACAACGTCTTTCTTTCAGATTATTAGGCCTTGATCCCATAAACTATCATATACTGTGAAAACCTATCCTTATTTTAATCAGTTCAGAATCTTTTTTTTTTCAGTTCGAAAAGTATAACAGGACTTCTTCCAACTCAATATACAGTAAAAATATTATATGAATGGGAATCCTGGACTGAGATGAGACTATAAAGAACAAGATTGAATATTCTGGTATGTTTTCTCTATAATCTTTTTCAGACTTGTGAAAGTTTCATGTAAGTTTTTATTTAGTTTTGTCAATGTTTATTTTTATCTTACATTTTTTATTTTTATAAATTACTCAAGGCAGTCTACATACTTATTTTCCCTCCTCCTATTTTCCCCACAACAACAACCCTGGGAGGTGGGTTAGGCTGAGAGAGTAATAGGCCCAAGATCAACCAGCCGACTTTCTGCCTAAGGCAGGACTAGAACTCACAATCTCCTGGTTTCTAGGCCAGTATCTTAACCACTATTCCAAACTAGCTCTTATTCTAGCTTGTCTCCCATGTCCCCTTATCTCATTTGATTACTTCTGTAATTCTTCTAATAAAACATTAATTGTATGAGCAAGTGAGTTCAGATCTGTTCTAATAATATATTTGGGTCAAATCAAATGTAAATATCTCCTCAGGATTAGTGCTGCTTTGGCATGAAGATTCCTAATATGATACCAGACTCTTGTTTCCCAGTAGTTTTGCAGAGTGGGACAACTCACCGTAACCAACTCGCCATAGTCAACTTGCTGCAGCCAACTCACCATGTGGCAAATTGCTGCGGCAAGTTGGCCACATTGAGTTGGCCACAGTGAGTTCGCCGTGGAAAGTTGTCATAGATCCATAGTTTTAAGGGCATCCTCATAGTAACTGTAGTGTCTGTTCCAGAGAAGAGAAGGGAAGAACACATACCTGTTCCATTCTGTAATCCAGAGTTTCCTATCGTGCACTCAAAGATGTAGTCTGAAATATTAATATGTAAATGAACATCACAGGGTAAATAGGGACGAATTACTTAGTTTGTTTCTTATGTCTGCATTTATTGCCTATAAGACCAGTAATACTAAAATGTTGTTTCTCAGAAAACAATGTATTTTATTTTGTTTGAAAATAAAGAATTTGATACTTTTTTGAGCAAGAATCATGTCAAAATATATAAAAAGGCAGTGTCAAGATCAAGACAAATCAATTCCTGTCTGTTTTGTGCTACTGTAGTACACCTATAATACTGTGACCAGTTCTGGGCCATGTTTTAGGAAAAATACTGACAACATATGCAGAGAAAAATAGCCAAGATGATAAGGTTACTGAAGATGTCGGGTAGGCTTAGCAGGAAAAAAGAAGTCTGCAGTATATATGCTAGCTCTGCAAAGTTGTCATGGAGAAATTCAAAGTTGCTCCAGATAAGATAAGTAACACTGGGTTTAAACGATAAAGAAATTTTGATTGGACAAATTCCTAACAGCAATACTTATTTAACAATGGAACAAATTGCTCTCTGAAGTTGTGGATTCTCATTTACTGGAAGTATTTAAACAGAGTATGCATGGCCAACTTTTAAGGATACTGCAATAGTGGATTTTTGCATTGGCACCACAGGGATTGGTATAGATCAGGGGTGTCAAACTTGCGACACAGCCCCTGATGTATCACAAGTTTTTTTGCCTTTGCTAAAATGGGGGTGGGTGTCGCCAGTGTGTGATGCATCTGGCCCATGGACCATGAGTTTGACCCCTGGTATAGATAATCTCTCAGGTAACCTCTAAACCTCTTTTTAGTGGGAAACTTGATGTAATAGCATTCATACAATTAGTACTTACATGAATGTTGAAAATTCAGTTATAGGCATTTTGACAGCTGATTAGGATTGAATACTGGTGTGGAAGGAAGGAATGGTGGTGATGGTTCCATTTGACCCAAACATCAGTTACATATTAGCTTTAGGGAAGCTAGTTATGCAGATCATATTCCTTAAACATGTACTGGGAGGTCAACAGTTAAGTGATAACAGAAGAGAGAAGATCTCAACGCCTTTTAGCAAAATATGAAAAGTTATAGGGAACTAACTCAAGTCCTTGTTGCTCAATAATCTGCTCCATAACTACCATTAGTATTTTGCTAGCAGCATATAGCTTATGCCATATCTGTCTCCCATGTCACAATCTTAACCTGTTGTTTGGTTCTTAACTCAGTTCTTAATGTAATGGTTTTCTAGAAGAGGTATAAAGCTGAGTCTCAAATTTGGTAACTGTAAGATAGTGCCTTAGAAAATAACAAAATCAACCATTAGTAGACCTTAAGGACAACATTAAAAGGATAGCTGGAAGAAGTGGGAAATATTTCCTATCACTGCAAACATTACCACTCTTTGTACAAATTGGTCATATTGATGTCTGGAAAAACAGAGAAGGATTTTTCATTCAAATGAATTAAAAATTATGTTAGCACATGAAAAAGTCAGAATTGTGGCATATGTTCAAATTACATTCTTTATTATGGATCGTCTTTAGAGTTACAGATAAGAGGCACTATTTTGAAGTGCTTCAATTTTTTCCTAAGTGGGAGATTTAGTCAGTGATGGCAGAGAGTGGCATTTTGGCTGTCCTTGGCTGTTCAATATTTATATGAAACTATTAGGAGAAATCACCCCTTAATTTAGGATGAAATATTAACAATATGCTGTTGATACAATTACACACCCAGATAAATCTGACATGCATTGGAGAATTTGACTTCATGCTTAAAGATTTGAAAAGGGGCGCTGAATGGAATGAAAGAAGCTGAAATTGAACTCTTGCAAGGCTGGAATGTTATCCGAAAATGCCTCGTTGTCAGTCAGCTCCTATTCTGACTCTGAATGAAGTTGCGGCATTTAGATTTTGGATAGGTTTCTGAATGCAGTTCCAAGAGTTGGTTTTAACTTACAAAACCATGACTCCCAAACTGTGCTATGGTATTCTGGCACCCCACACTAAACTCTCAGGAGTCCCGCAGAATACTTTAGTATTTAATAAAGGGAAATGTTAGAGTTGACTGTGATGCCCCAGGATGCCCTGGCATTCCATTTGGGTGCTGGGGTACCATGAAAAAGTCACTGAAATGCTAAGGGAAACTGGGAAAGTTTGGCAATCTCTGTTATAATGATCAGCATGCTTGTGTCCCACTTGGTTAGTGGCTTGGGTAATGCCCACTCTGTGGGCTTTCAGGAAGGTGTAAATCATCATAAGAATGTACGGTGTGGGTCATTATTAGATTTAGGTTGCGTGTCAGCTTTTGTTAATCTTTTTATCAAGGAAGTATATTTTACAACCTCATTATTTTAAAATTTAATTTGGGAGTTACACTAGAATAAATAATATATATTGGTGATGCGTAAATAAACATACCCAGCTATTTCATGCTTTGACTGCACCAGATATTTGATATTATTGTTATTGTTGCATATTTTCGCTTCGTGGCGAAGGTTGTTGAGAGTGCGGTTGCGCGACAGCTTCCCCAGTACCTGGATGAAAAGACGTGTCTGGATCCGTTCCAGTTGGGCTTCAGGCCTGGGTACAGCACGGAAACGGCATTGGTCTTGTTGGTTGATGATCTCTGGAGGGCTCGGGTCAGGGGTTGCTCCTCTGTCCTGGTCCTGTTAGATTTCTCTGCGGCTTTTGATACCATCGACCATGGTATCATGCTGCGCCGGTTGGAAGAATTGGGGGTGGGAGGCACCATACTACGGTGGTTCTCTTCCTTTCTCTCTGACCGGTCGCAGTCTGTGTTGACAGGGGGGCAGAGGTCGACCCCAAGGCCCCTCATGTGGGGTGCCACAAGGATCGGTCCTCTCACCCCTTTTGTTCAACATTTATGTAAAGCCGCTAGGCGAGATCATCCGTGGTTTCGGGGTGAAGTACCACCAGTACGCTGATGACACCCAGCTGTACATCTCCACCCTGGACCCCAACGATGCCCTTGAAGTGATGTCCCGGTGCCTGGAGGCCGTACGGATCTGGATGGGGAGAAACAGGCTCAGGCTCAACCCATCCAAGACCGAGTGGCTGTGGTTTCCGACGTCCCGATATAGTCAACTGGTGCCATTGCTGACTATTGGGGGCGAATCATTGGCCCCCACGGAAAGGGCTCGCAACTTGGGCATCCTCCTGGACTCACGGTTGTCTTTAGAAGAGCACTTGACGGCCGTGACTGGGAAGATTTTTCATCAGGTTCGCCTGATCTGCCAGTTGCATCCCTTTCTAGATCGGGACTCCCTACGCACAGTCACTCATGCCCTTGTCACCTCCCGTCTGGACTATTGTAACGGTCTCTACATGGGGCTCCCCTTGAGGAGCACTCGGAGGCTCCAACTGGCGCAGAGTGCGGCTGCGCGGGTGGTGATGGGAGCGACGTGGCGTTCCCATGTAACACCTCTCCTGCGTGAGCTTCACTGGCTCCTGGTGGTCTTCCGGGTGTGCTTCAAGGTTTTGGTTATCACCTTTAGAGCGCTCCATGGCTTAGGACCTGGTTATCTACGGGACCGCCTGCTACCACCAATAGCCTCCCACAGGCCAGTATGCTCCCATAGAGAGGGGCTCCTCCGGGTGCCGTCGGCCAAACAATGTCGACTTGCGGCCCCTAGGGGGAAAGCCTTCTCTGTGGGGGCACCTACGATCTGGAACGAGCTCCCCCCGGAGATACGGAGGATCCCGGATCTGTGCACCTTCCGTTGCGCGCTCAAGACTTTCTTATTTCATCAAGCTGGCCTGGCCTAAATCTTTTCCCCTTTTAAATGTAAATTTTAATTTGTTTTTAAATTATTGGGTATTTTAAATTTGTCTCAGCCAAATTATTTAATTCGTTTTTATTCTATTTTAAATTTTTGTATTTATGTGTTTATTCTGTGGCTGTTCACCGCCCTGAGTCCTTCGGGAGTAGGGTGGTATATAAATCCAATAAAAAACAAAACAAAACAAAACAAAAATATTTTACGTGAACCTTTTCTTTATTTTCTATTTTTATTAAAATTATTTTTAAGTTCCTAAAAAGGTATATTATATTGTCAGATATTTAATTTTTTAAATAGAAATCTGTGTTTGATTTTGTAAGAGCACTACTTAATATCAGAGCTTTCCTCATCTTCTGAAAGAATTTACATTATTTCCATTTTCATTAAGAATTGCTATCTAATTTCTACAAAACATTTTTGTATTTCAT